CCGGGACCAACGTCCTTCCACCGTTACAGCAACAGCAACAGCAGCAGCAACAGCAGGGGCTCTCGCAACAGCCACCACCATCGCAGGCTCAGTGGGGACCACCGCCGCATGGAGGCTCTATGCAGGGACCGATGCAAGGCGTCGAGTTTGGCGGTATGCGGCCCTACGAGCACCCTCACCGTTGAAGCAACCCTTCTTCACATCACTGTCGTCTTGCATGAGCAATGCGGCTGCTCAAGTCACTCGAGCCTTTCCCTTCACTGGACTGTATTTCTGGGTCTGTTTTCTGCCTTACATCGTGAGGCTTCACTTCAGCGTTTTCTGTTTATTACTTCTACACCAACGGACAGGTACACGGTTTAGCCGACTCTGTTCGGACCTAGGACTAGCTGTCCCACCAACAACGGTCTCAATTATCTACCGGCTTTGTTTCACGACCCTTCAGCATCGAATGTATTATGACACGATCCTATGCGACATCATCGGCATACTCGACACCCCTAGAGGGTCTTTCCTTTGTTCACCTACCGGATCGTAGGACGGCGTTTTATGGAGCGGCTTATACCTTTGGAGTGAGGAGGCAAGGAAAGCTTCTCGGAGAAAGGTCGGGAAAAAAAGTATATGTCATGAATCACTACATCGGTGAATCGGGTTCCTCATGTCGGCTCCAAGAGTGGGATCTTCGGCCATAGCAGGCGTACGGTTGGGCTTTGGGTCATTTCCCAGCGATTAATCAGTCTTTCAGTCGGATTTGGCTTCATCACTGCATGTAACCCGGGACTTTGGTCCCCGTCCCCGCCATCGTTCTACACGTGGACATGTATCTGCAACCAAGGAGGACCATGTTTCTCAAACATGCATTAACAGCTGTTAGCGGGGGACCTACCACAAATTCTTAAACATGGATCGTCGCTGCAGGTTTGCGCGACCGAACTATACCCACACACCCTCTCTCGCTATCGCTCACTGCACTTGTACTGTTGTTGATGGAGTGTATTGGAGATTCCAAATCCCCGGGTCGTCACGCACGCCTCTTGCCGGATCTTGCCGACACGTGTAAGCATGGCTGCCTGACATACTGCAGTTAAGTTTCAGTGATGGTGCTGTCGTTGTTTCGATGATCTGTTGGTATGACAGGCGACGGAAGGCTGTTTGCCGCTGTACTAATGACTCGTATCTCGTCAATATTCCCCGATCCCCATCATCCCCTTTATCTTTGCGCGCCATGCTGTTCTTCAACATACGCTTGACTAACTTCGCTTTCGCTTGTTTGTTAACTACCACAAAGTTTAGGTCTGCATCAACACAGCCACGTTCATACACTAGATATCTTGCAACTTGCAGTGTTTGCGCGTGGTGGCGTGGCGCGGCGTGGTAGTTCTCTTGGTTGCTTGGTTTCTCGGTGAGTTTGACATTGGCGGGGGGTTGGCATTCGATGGATGGAGCAGGTGGAGTGCACTTCGCTCGACACGAGGTTCATAACTGCGCCGCAGCACGTGGGTTTTCGGGATGTGGAGTGCAGTTCTGCCCATGTGGAGTACCTCTTTGGACATGACTTGACACCTTGACATGACTTGTAGCTATAGGATAGGCAAAAGGGTGCTGGGAGTGCATATGTGTCAGGTAGCCGCAAGGTAAATTACAGTTTGCGACTAGACTGAATCATGTTAGTGCGCGGTCGGTAGGGAATGCCGAAGCCCTGAAGTGGCAGTGTGCGCGACGGCTAGGGCAAAAGGCAAAGTGAGTTTTCCGTAGACCTGGTGTGGCTGGTGACGGCGGGGTGGTAAGTTTGGAGTGGGGGGAGATGGGGACTTGGTGTGTATATCTGTCTGCTTGTGGTGATCGGTGTTGATCTACGGGTTACGGTGTTTTCTAGGAGAATTATTTAGGTCCGAGATAGAGTCATGTTGGCTTGACTTGGGATGGTGATGTGATCCATATACATAGTTTGTTTGAGGCGCATGCTGTAGCCACTAGACTAATTGGAGTAATATAAAGGCGAGGATCACAGCACAGGAAGCTCGATAGGACAGTTCACATCATGACATTAACTAGTAGATGCCAGATTAAATGCGAAGCGAAAAATGGCGAACGCAAGACGCCGGAAGAGTATAATTAAAATATACAATCTAACCATCATCATAGAAGGTACCTCTTCAAAGGAGAAAGAGGTAAAAACATTACACTACCCACGATGCAGAATTGTATCCAACGGGTTCTTGGGTTCACCAATCGTTTCCTTTTGCACCTGTTTCTTCTGCTTCTTCGTCATGAGGCCCTTGGCCTTGATACCGCGTTCTTTTCGTAGTTTCTTGAGCGCCTCTTCGGTCATTTCTTGACGGAGGATTTGTTCAACGACGAGCTTCTTGCGACTGCGCTTGTCGCCACGACCGATAATGATGCCCGCGGTGATGTTGCATGTAAGACTACAACTCAGGATGATGGCGGTGACTTCCTTGGGGCGGTCTTTGTAGTAGATACCCCATGTGGTACCTCCCAGTGCGCATTGGAACATGGAGTGGAAGTCGAGAAGAACGATGATGGTGATGAGGAGGCGGATGGAAAAGGCGTGGTGGGTGTATGTCTCGTGGGGTCGGTAGAAGGTATGTGACTTCTCCAGCTTGCCTTGATGGTGCTCGAGTTTCTTCTGCTCTTCGGCGGTGAGAACGGGGGCCTCGACGCCTTCTTGTTCTGCCTCGCCTGTTTCCCAAGCGTTGGATCGCGGCATGGTCGGTAGTTCGTTGTGGTCTTTCAACTCTTGTAGTCCTCGTTCTTTGCGTAGCCGCCAGGTCTTGTGCGCGTAGTAAGCGACGAAAGCCATGTGGTATGTGTCGACGATGCGGAAGGGAAACATGGTGATTCCAACAACACAGAACAGGGCAGTAAGGACCTGATCAGCAATCTCGACAAAGTATGCCTGACGATCACCAACATAGATCCAGCCGATGAGGAAGAGTACCCATGCTGCTCCCCAGAAGGTGATAAGGAAGAAGTACAGCGTGACAAGGAAGCCGAGTGGGTTGCGAACGTAACGTCCGAAGCCCTTCATAGTCCGCTTGAACCTTGCGCGTCGAGAGTGGAGAAGATGTCGAACATGGTCGTCCAGAGCTTCCTTCTCCTCGTCGGTCCATCCTGTCAACGAGGCACCATGTGGCAGTACGGCGTAGTGATGGCCAGCACCTTCCTCCAGAGTCGAAAGATTGGAGTCGATAGTGTTGTTTCTTCGCAATTCTCCGCGGCCTCCGCGCGCGGCTTGTTCTACTTCGCCTTGTTGTGTCATCTCAGGGAGTTGATCTTCCTCGCGTCTGGCCCCTCTAGCCGTGCCCATCTCTTCGTCCGAGGAGTCTGATGTCGTCTGCCCAAGATCGTATGTGGGCTGGCGGTTGTAAAGCCAGGGTAGATTGGGCAAGAAGAGCGAGTTCTGAACGTTATTCAGCGTAGTGAGGGCAGATATCTCGGGGTCTAGACTTTGTTAGCTGATACCCCAATGTAGCATACTCTAGGGTTACTGACCGATGACATCAAGCACATCGACAACATTGTTGCCCATCATGTTCTGATTTGGGTCCTTCTGGTGCCGCCGCATGTGGAAAGCGGAGGACTGACGAGTCATCCCTCTTCGTGCATTGCTGGCGGTTGGCGGACCATTGCCGATAGCAGGGTTTGCTGTCGCCGTGCCATCTTCATATAGAGGCTGTAGATGAGGCCCCGTTAATTGACGCCTTAGGCTATCGTCGGCGACCATGGCCGCTGGAGGTGGGCGCGGTTCAGAACTACTTCGTCTTCGGCCGGCTTGCCATGTGCTGTCGGATCCCGGTACTGGCGCTGGATCAGGCGTGGGTTGGGGAGTATTTACGCTTGGCTGATGTGAAGGTCTTCTTATGCGAATAGACGAACTGCGCAGGCGCTGGATAGGATTCGAGGTAGGCGCGTGTGGTTGCGAGGGTTGAGTGGACGGCATGTGGGTCGTTGTGGTGACGGCAGGGTGTGTGATAGTGGTCGACTGTGGCCCAAAATGCTGCACGTTCGTTCCCTGTCCGGGTGCGGTGGATGTCGTGGTGGTGGTAGTGTAGGGGCCAGAGGTAGTGGTGGTCGAAGTTGACGACGACGCCAACGGTCGTCCCTGCTCGTGTGGGCCTTGATCCATAATTGCAGCGGTTGCGACGAGAGTGCCCCAGGAAAGGAAGCAGTTTGGGTGAGAGTGCGGCGTTGGGGTCAAGTAGTGTCTTGCTAAGCGTGCAGCGAGCGATCCGGCCGCGACCGACGCAATTAGTTCATTGTTCAGTCAGCAGCGTGTCTCCGCAATCCCTCGTGAGAACAGGGTTAGGAGCGCGCCGTGATAGGAAAGCGGCGCGTTGGCACGGCGATAATAACGGGTTTGAGGAATAGGAGCTTGAGAGGGGTCTTGGAAAACACAGTCAAGCTTTCCTTGCACGCGCGGGTTGTCAACCAGCCGCGTGGTAGTGCTTCGGCTAGGGCGGCTTCGTTGAGGATCCGAGTGGCTGCATGCCATCCCTCCAGCAATCAGCTCTGACGTCATACTTCGTGTTTCTTCAACTGCAGAGATATCTGGGGTTGCTGACGCCTGCATGAGAAGGATGGACTAAGCATGGCTGACGCCCAATGCTTGATCATATGAGCCCTGCACGTCGCTGTCGCTGCAGCCACAGTCTCTGCAAAGGAGCCACCAAGAAGCAATTAGTCGCATTGCGCAGACTCTGCCAGTTGTGCGCAGAAACAGTGGGCTTTGGAGACATGCATTATTGTTATGCCACCCTGGTCGAACTCAACAAATGTCAAATGTCGCTTGCAGGCCGGTTTGGGGGAGCAGCGTCTGGACTCACAGCCACAGGGCTGAAACACGGCCCAGCTGGTCGCGCCTAGGCCAGCGTTGACGTAGCTGTGGATCCCAGCTGCGCATCCGTACCTGAGCCTTGATGCCTTCCGACATCCACAATAATCTATACCTATAGCATCCCTATCGCATTCATCTCTCCAAAATGAAAGCGGCACGCGCCCTTGTTCCAGCCTTCCTGGCAGCCAGCCGCGTCGCTGCCATGCCGCAGCGCAGCGCGCCGCAACAAGCTATACTCGACGCGTCGACGAAGCATCTCGCCAAACCACTTGGTGTAGGCCACTTCAGCGAATGGAGCCGTGCCACAAAGAAGGAGTTCTTGGTAGACTGGCAGGCCGGTAGGGAGGATGAGTGGACCATGGTAATGGGCAATGAGGGCGGTGATATGGACTCCATGACCGCGGCGCTCACTTGGGCCTACCATCTTGAACACTCCACCGAACACACCGACAAGCCTATCAAGGCCATTGCACTCCTTCAGACACCGTCGCATGCGCTTGATCTGCGACCGGAGAACAGGCTGGCCCTCGACAATTCGCAGATGACGCCTGGCCACGAGGACTTGTTGACGCTGGATGAGCTGCCTGAGGACCCCGAGACTCTGGGCAAGAAGCTCAAGGGCATCGTCCTGGTCGACCATGGCAGCCCTCTACGAAAGTGGAACGAGGCAAAGATCCTGAGCATCTTCGACCACCACAAAGACCGCGGTACTGCTCCTGACGCCGAACCCCGTGTCTTCGAAGTAGCAGCAAGCTGCACTACGCTCGTGGCCCGCCAGATGCTCGATGAGCTCGAGAAACTTGACGAAGAATACCACATGCCGCACGAACTGCTCGAGCTAGTCCTCAGCGCCATTGCCATTGACTCCGGCGGCTTGTCAGGCAAGAAGACGACCAAGACCGACATCGAAGTCTCCAAGCGTGTCCTCGCACGCAGCAACTGGAAGAAGGACAGCCTCGAAGACGTCATGGAGGACCTCGACGACGAGCTCAGTAAGGCACAAAAGGACATTGACAACCTTGGTCTGCGCGACCTGTTGCGCCGAGACTGGAAGGGAGACATCATTGATACGCCGTCCCCGCGCACTCCTACCGTGAGCATTGGCTTCGCCTCGATTCCATACTCCATGGACGAGCAGATCCTCAAGACGGACTTTGCGGAACTCTTTGGTAAGTCTTGACTCCCTTCTCAATCTACCCTTTGAGTCCATCTCAGCTAACACACCCCAGACTGGTTCGCCGTCCATGCCGCCTGGACCGCCGAAGCCGGCGTCGACATCTCCATCACGCTCAACAAGTACAAGAAGCACTACAAAGACGGCGAGAAGGAGAAGATCCGCGAAGTCGTCCTCACCGTCCGCGACGACGTCCGTATCGACCAGGACCAAGCCGACTCGCTCTTCAAGACCGTCAAGGAGGCGTTGGAGAATAACGAGGAGGGTATTGATTTCCAGCCGTGGCACCGTGCGGATCAGTTGGCGCCTAGGCAGATGGTATGGACGCACAAGAGTAGTGCGGGTAGGAAGGTTATCAGGCCGATTGTTGAGGAGGCGGTTATGAAGTGGGATTAAGGGTGGACCTGGACGGGGCTTTAATACCTATGTGAAGACGAGTCTTTATGAAACATACCTGTCAATCCACATGTATCCCATATGTATACATGATACTCTGTGATGTAACTTGGACAGGATGCTCAACGTGCATCCTTCACGGTAGGTTCTGGTCCATGGGGTACGCTCAGAGGATGACGAAACTCAGGCGCCGTTGCTGCATACACAGTATTTGTTCTCACAAAGTGAACGGCATTGAAGATCATGTATGCTTCACCCTGGAAAACACATGCAGGGCTTATTCAATACATCTTGCAAATGGCACTGATAGATGGCGAAATCCGTGCAGTGTTGCTGCATATATGACATTGATGCCCAAGAAGTGGGAAAGCTCCAGGACAATGTATGTCTCCACCCGGGGTATAGCAATGCGGCTTCTTCATACGTTTCACGTCAGTGACCATAGTCGATACCAGAATACGTGCAGCGTTGCTGCTTACACAGTACTGAATCTTGGCAAGTAGGAGGTATCCAGGGTGATGTATGCTTCAAACTACGAAGTAGATACACTTCCCCTAATCGATTCTTGCGAACTACATCAGTGTGTGCTAGAACCCAAACCATGTTGCCGCATATACGGTATCAAACTTGTATAAGTGTATAATACCCAAGCCGATGTATACTTCTGGCAGTACTGTTCTCGGAGAACATCGATGTCGGGTTGCGGTATACACAGCCTTGAATCATAACAGTTAAGCGGTTTCCAGATCAATATATACTTCTAGCAGCCTCGATCAACAGCAGCATCCACATCGGATTGCCGCACACGTAGCATCAAGATTCAACAAATAGGGAGTCTCTAGGATAGTATATGCTCCTGGAAGCACTGGCAGACGCTGATGTCAACGTCAATTTGCCGCATACGTTGTGTTAAACTTTAAGAACTGGATGGTGTCTAAGTTGATGTTTACTGCTGGCAGTACCAATGAATACAAACATCAACGTTGGTTTACCGCATACATCGTGGTATATATCGCCGAATGCATAGGATCCAAGGTCAAGTATACATCCGGCAGCACCAAGGGACAGTGGTATCCAAGTCGGGTTGCTGCATACAGAGGATCGAACGTTGAGAAGAAGGTAGCATGCAAGCTCATGTATACGTCTAGCAGCACTCATGCACGGCGATTCCTAAGTCAGTTTGCCGCTTACATGATGTTGTGTCTCAACAAGCAGACAGTACTCAAGGTGATGTATGCTTCAAACCAAAATTACAGGATCATAACTCGTCATTCTCATACTACGTGAGGGCTCTACTGTTGTTCAAAACTAACAAAACAAAACAATTTCAGACAAAACCGCCTCCACCCGGCTATCTTGATCCGGAACTCCGCGAGAGCCAGCCCTTTCGGGCGGCTACAATCAACGGAGCCCTTCACTCAAGCCAGGGTGGAGGGAAACAACCAAAAAAACCAAAACAATCAAAAACCCAAAACAACCCAAAACGACCAACTTCCTCCAATCAAAACAAAATCATTCCATCTCATCTAACGCCGCCTGAAAACAAAACGAGTGGGGTATCTAACGCCGATAAAATGCTGATGTAGTCGTATTCCGTCTATGGGCGCTACCTGGGGCGGGCGCTACGAGCAGCTGGTTTTCGGACATTGGCGGTGTTTGTCTTTGGTGAAAGCACGTGTGTGGAGGTGGTGGCCTTGGTGCGGGAAGCAGCGCGGGTTGCGCGCGTGGTTGGGGCAGCGGCAGCAGCCGGCTTCTGAGCAGGTGCCCTAGTCCGCTTCTTTGGCACAGGCAGGTCTGCGTTTTCCTTGTCCTCACCAGACAGTTCGTCGCTGCTGCGCTTCTTGGCGCGTGTGGTCTTCGTTGGCTGCGCGTATGTCGGTGTGGGCTTGGCTTTGGCGGCAGGCTTTGCGCGCCTGGTATCTGGTGAGGAAGTCGCGGGCGCTGAGGAGCTTGTTGGGATGGAGTTTGTGGGAGCCGCGCGTGTCTTGCGTGAGGCAGGTGCTGGCGCTGGCGCTGATGTCTTCTTGGGTGGCGCAGTCTTGTTTGGTGCTGGCGCGGTCGCGGTCGCAACTGGTTGTGCAGGCGCGGATGCCTTGAGGAGGTCTAGTAGCGTGGTTTGGCGCGTCACGGTCGGGATGCGGTTGACGCGACGCTCGAGACGCGACTGCATGCTGGCACACTGCGCGTCGCACTGCGCTCGTAGCTTCTCTTTGCGCGAGTCGAGCTCGATCTGGAGGTTGGCTAGCATGTTGGCTTTCGCCTCAGCTGTGATGCCGTCTTTGATGTTGTTCATCGCGTGTTGTGTGATGTGTGACGCGTCGGCGGCGGTGATGTTATTGTGAAGTGCCGGAGAGTACCAGCTAGCAGAGAAGAGCTGCTGAGACTTTCAAAGATCTGATATTGATCTTGAGAGGCTCGGGTGTGGGAGTGGTGGAAGAGGGTTGCAGCTTCCAAATGTTGTGGTGGTGGAGAACAGTAAACAACGCGAGGCAAGCCGCGACGATGATACTGGGGAGAAGATTTGAGTGGTATAAGTGACTTATTGAGACTTTCTGATGCTTTTGCAACAACTTTTGAGATATTTGGAGCAGATTTGATGTGGTTGCGGGTGGTGGTGGTTGCAGCTGCTGAATCAGAGTGGGATGTTGGAGGAAGGAACGTTGGAGCCCGCAGGTCTGCCCTTTACGCCAGCGCCAAGGGCGACGTCACGGCCTAAGCAGTGCACTTGCTACATTGAGGTTGGTCGCAAGACAAGAGAGAACACCAAAGTGCAAGATAGCAATGTCTGCAGCAACAATTGCAGCGCAGCGCTTTAGAATTGGAGTTGCAATATTCGATGTTCAATTGCACGAGTAAGTTTCTAGATGTTGCAGATGCCGTCTGAGTCATTTCTCCTTCGACACGCGCACGGCCTCCCGCAGGCGCGGTCACACTACACGTGATCTCGGTGGTTCCCATGGCCAGCCTCCGTCCTCCGCTGCGGCGACCTGAGCTCAGCATCATAAGGTTACCGTCGATCCAACCAGCTACCCAAACATACACCTCAACCCCACACACATCCGGCCTTCAAGATGGTGTTAGAAGCTTCTATGATAGTGTAAGGCTATATGCACTCACACATCGATCGCATACTAACTTCAGCAGCGTTGACAACAGCGAAGCTAGTCGAAATGGCGATTATGTACCCTCGCGATGGGAAGCACAACAGGACGCTGTGAACATGATCTTCTCCGCGAAGACTGGTGCAAACCCAGAGTCATCCGTCGGTCTCATGAGCATGGGAGGCAACACCCCGGAGATCCTCACGACGCTGACAACGGACATTGGCAAGGTGTTGGACGGTCTGCACCGGACAAAGATAAAGGGCAGCTCACACTTCGTGACTGGCATCAACGTCGCGGCTGTAAGTTGGCAATAACCCTTGGGATGACACCTGCTAACTGAACTTGCAGTTGGCTCTCAAGCACAGACAGAACAAGTCGCAGAAGCAGCGGATAGTCATGTTCAACTGCAGCCCCATCGAGGAGGACGAGAAGAACCTGGTCAAGCTGGCAAAGAAGATGAAGAAGAGCGGTATCAGCATCGACATCATCGCATTCGGCGAGCTGAGCGACGACACCACGCGGAAACTCCAAGCCTTTAGCGACAACGTACAAAGCGCCGAAGGCTCCTACCTCGCCACCATTCCACCCAGCGCGAACCTGCTCAGCGATTCGTTGATTACTACACCTATAGTTGGCGGGGAGGGTGCATCCAGCGGTGGTGGAGACAGCGGTTCCGGAGGCGGAGGCGGCGGTGCTTCCGGCGGCAACGACTTCGAGTTCGGCGTGGATCCATCGGTCGACCCCGAGCTCGCATTGGCGCTGAGGATGTCTTTCGAGGAAGAGAAGGCACGGCAGGAGAAGGACAAGAAGACGAAGGAGGCGACCGAGGGCAAGTCGGAGCTCGAGCCGGTGGCTGAGGGTGACGAGAAGCAGCCGCTGCTGGACAGCTCGGGCCAGCCTGGTGGAAGCGGCAGCAAGGACAAGAAGGACGACGACCCAGACAAGATGGACACGGCATAAGCGGACATAGCGCAGCTAGGAAGAGGAACGCCTTTGAAGCTTCACGGTGGAGCAGGAGTATTCACGGCGTCTACTGTATGACTAGAGCTGGCGTCTACCGCATGGCATGGATGAAATGAAGCAAATAATGAACATTAGTCTACATTGATAGGTACTGGAGACAGTACTATCTTCTACAGCACACCTCTCACAACTTGACTTCCCTAGTGGGTGGTCTCTTCGTCCCCAAACCCGACACTATCATTCATGTTACGGACCCAAGAGTGATGCCCCGGAGCTTTGGTACGAGAGTCTCTAGTGTGCTCCCGAACTGCAACCAGTGGCAATGCATGCCGCAGCAGAACGCTCCTCGTGCTGTTCAACACGCGTCCCGCTTTGTTTCCCTTCATTCCGATTCGTGGTATCATATTCCCAATACGGCCTCCTCAACCCCCTCTGACTTTGACAAAGCTATCCAGCCCCCGATCGAACTTCTCGCACCGAATCGGCATCTCAACGGTATAGAACGGATTCTTCATGACGTAATCCGCATACAATTCATATATCCTCTTCATCATAGTATCGACATTCGGTTGCTGGGGCTCAGTGAAGAGCAAGAACTTGACACCGGTCTGTGTTTGGAAACATTGGATGCGGAAGTGTGAGCTTTCGAGGACCTCGATACCGGTTGCGCGGACAGGGAAGGTCTGGAGATTCGGTGTGGTGGTAGAGGGAGGCGGCGCGCGGACGGGTGGGACTGGAGAGAGCTGCGCTGTGATGGCGTGCATTCTAGACGCTCATCAGTGGAAGTTTTTACGCCTAGAAGATTGCGATTTACCCATGAAAAGATCCAGCGAGCATGAGATAGTCATTGCTGGTGAGCTTGCTCATGCCCGCGTGGAACTCGCGATTGTAGATGAGACCGCCAGACTTGCTGATGACGAACAGCGCGAACACCACCCTACACTATAGTGTTAGCCGACAACCTAAGAACACACTCGGCTTGCTTATTACATCTTGACGATCGGTGCGCAAGGAACAGACTATCGCGACTTTCGGCGGCGTGGTGTTGCGGCTCGCGTTCCGCCCTGTGGGACCCTGGGAGGGGCTAGCTTCACACCGCAGCCAACTACCCACTCGCCTTTGACAGCTCACATCGGTGTTTGCTTGGCCATTCACACGGTTGAGGCCCGCTCACTCCTACCACTGCTTCTCCTCAAGACTCCCCACACCACGGCACCCACACCCGCTCAATATTCTCAGCCCGGCCAACGCGGACCGTTGAGCTTCACCAACCCCGCGAATCTCAACTATCCAAACCGCTGCCGGGAGGCCTCCACACACCATCATGTCCAACCAAAGCATTCTTAGAATCACCCGCGAACTCGGCGAGATCCAGCGCGGCTCCGACCTCTCCATAGCCGTTGCCTGCCGCGATATTGACGTGCGCCATGTGCGGGCGCTAATCATAGGCCCACCTGACACTCCCTACGAGTTCGGCTTCTTCGAGTTCGCTGTTAAGTTTGCGCGCGAATACCCTACTAAAGCTCCGAGTGTCACGGCTATAACTACCCATGGTGGGCGTACGCGATTCAATCCCAACATATACGCGGGCGGCAAGGTGTGCCTATCGATTCTTGGGTAAGTGACCTTGGAGCATACGAGGGTGTATGTTCTGCCAAGAGACAACACAAAACGTATCGAATGCCTCTAGGCTGTCTTCAAGTAAAGCAAAATACGGCAGCCCTGAAGCATACGAACACGTTTATTTTGTCAAAAGACGAGACAAAACGCATCAGATACCTCCAAGGCTGAGTCTATGCTAACAGAATGCAGTACATGGCGAGGAGAGCGTGGTGAAGAATGGTCGTCTGCCCAGGGCCTCGAGTCTATCCTTATCTCCATCCAGAGCCTTATGTCGAGCAACCCGTACGAAAATGAGCCTGGCTTCGAGGACGCAAATTCGGACTACGACAAGAAGAACCAGGAGGCATACGTAGACAAGATCCGACACGAGTCGCTGCGCATATCCGTCATCGATCGCCTGGAAGAATACCTAGGCATCAATTGGGGGAGGTCTGGCGTGACGGTCTACAACGCGGAAGAGGACTACCAGTCGAGCAGGGACGACGCGCCCTTCGAGCCCTTCAAGGACCTCTGCAAGCGACGCTTCCTGTGGTACTACCAATCGTATCTAGCTCGCGTGGACGAGGCAGTGAAGAAGAACAAGGATGGGGACCGCTTCGAGAAGATGCCGTTCGAGGGCCCGGGCAACGCGATGGAGGGCACATTCCAGTACACACAGCTCCGCGAGCGCCTGGTCAAGATCTTCGAGACCCTCAACAAGGAGATGGAGGCTTGGGCCGCCGAAGGCATGATGGCTGTTAGCAAAGAGATGAGCATTGCCAACAACCTCCAGCGCCAGTATGAGCAGATCATCGAGAAATACAAGAAGCAGGACGCCGTCACATTGGATCTTGACCTTGTTGATAAGAACCCATTCGTATGGCAGCTGGTCCTGTTCGGGAGACCTATGACGAACCTCGACGGAGGCATGTTCCGGATTATGCTATATATTAGCCCCAAGTTCCCAGAGGTTCTACCGCGTGTTAGATTTGAGGGTAAAGTAGCCATCACGGGTACGTTTTAGAGCTTTTCCGCTAACTGATATCTAGTATGTATCCGCCCGGCTGTTATATGGAGACACCCTTGTCGAATTATCTCGTAACGTATTCCTCAAGACAAGCTAACAAAATGATAGACACCGGTTCTCTACCACCACCGCGTATCGCCCGATGGCATACTCTGCTACGATGCTGCCCGTAAGGACGACATGCGCTCACATATCGAGGCCATCATTGCGGCTATCGAGGAGGAGTCACCTGCATACGACCCACGCACACTGGTCAATCCCGAGGCTGCAACGCTGTTCTGGGGCACTCCAGACGAAAAGAAGCTCTACAACCGTAAACTGAGGCGATCCGCACAGGATAGCGCTGAGTGAGTTTCATTCGTGGACGTTACAATGATGTCTGCTAATAATCGTCTAGGAACTGCTTTTAGAGATTGCGAACTAATGATCCCACGGCCGGTCTTCCTCTCGATATGACATTACATGATACCCCAAGCCTAACCTTGCGAGGTGGCTTGCATTATACGGCGTTCGTTCATCAGGGCTATGGGAACAGCATGGGTAACGGCGTTAGTTATGAAATACGAATGATATTTTGTCTCATTGAAGTGATTTCACCTGTCCCAGATGTCTACATTGTCTCTGAAACCCATGTTTCTCAATATTTTATGCTCTTGCAGGCTACAGGGTCGACTTGAACTTGTGAAATTTGTCCCTTATCTAGTTGGGAGTGGGAACGATGCAGAAGTCTACATTGCCCTCACATGTTTAATATTTGTATTACCATGTTATTGAAGGATGTAGAGCACCTGTTCATCTTCTCGTACAGGATACGGCGCTTCTGCACGCGCGAGTATGGCCGTTGAGACCCTGACATGCGGGAACCTTGAAGCTAACCCAAGCCCCCGGAAAGTGTTCCCCCGAGCGCTCTCCGCAAAACAATCCCTGATCGTCGCACCACCAATTGCACTGACACTCCATCCTCCACCATGCCGAACAACTCAGACACTATCCAATCGCTCGGAAAAGTTCTCGTCGTCGGAGGCTGCGGCTTTCTAGGAAGCCACATCGTCAGCTTGATCGTCAAGCGTCACCCCCAGACACAAATCGCCGTGCTCGATCTACGAACCAACTCGAATCGCAACGCCAGCCCGAACGTCTCCTACCACGATGGCGATATCACGGATGCTCCTGCCATGAAGGCTCTGTTCTCGCAGATCAAGCCCGACGCCGTCATCCACACAGCATCACCACACTTCGATCTGAAGCCTGAGATTCACGACAAGGTCAATGTTGGGGGTACCAAGGTCCTGCTGCAGGCCGCGCAAGAGTCTGGGGTGAAGGGCTTCGTGTACACAAGCTCAGCAAGTGTTATCCTCGACCACGTAAACGATCTCGTCAACGCAGACGAGAGATGGCCGCTTGTTACTGGCGACGACCAGCCTGAGTACTACACAACCACAAAGGTAAGCACACAATCGTATTGTTATGTCGTAGAAGCTAACGATATACTAGGCCTACGCCGAGACGGCCGTCCTCCAAGCGAACCGCCATCCTGAGAACTCCCCCAACTTCCTGACCTGCGCCATCCGTCCCGCTGGTATCTTCGGCGAAGGCGACGTACAACTGCTCCCTAAGATGGTAGGCGCATACCGCAAAGGACAAACCAAGTTCCAAGTCGGCGAGAACACCAACCTGTTCGACTTCACCTACGTCGAGAATGTCGCATACGGCCACGTGCTCGCTGCTATCGCGCTCCTCCATACCCACAAACGCCTCCCCAGCATTCCTCTCGACAACGAGCGTGTCGACGGCGAAGCCTTCCTCATCACCAACGGACAACCTGTATACTTCTGGGACTTTGCGCGTGCGGTATGGCACGAGGCGGGCGACCGAACACCGTTGAGCAGCGTGTGGCATCTCAGCACCGAGTTCATGTGGGCTATTGGCACGATCCTAGAGAATGTCTTTTGGCTCATGGGAAAGAAGCCTAATCTGACTAGGGCTCAGGTCAAGTACAGCAGCATGTCCAAGTACCACAGCATCAACAAGGCGAGACTGCGGTTAGGATATGAACCTCTTGTTACTTTAGATGAGGGTATCAAGAGGGGTGTACAGTATATTCTGGAGCAGGAGAAGAAAGCTGGGGAGAAGAAGGGTCAGTAGACTCATACAAACATAGGAGCAGAGGCTATCGAAGACGATTTATTCCCATACTGCAGGTGTATAGTGTTGTAGATAATGTAATTACAGACATCTTCGATGCAAGCAGGCACTTCACTACGATGCTCGTATTTCTCAACTCAGGGAGGCTCTCGTAAATACATGCACACTGTCGTGGCCAGATGGAGCTAGAACCTCCCCAAGGCGGGACCCACTCCCGATTAAGTCAACTTCGTCGCGCGCGTAGCTCAGCGACCTCCCCAACCCCACGTTCACCCCACCCGTCACCATGGCGCGCAATCACGAAGTATGTCGCGCCCGCTACTTCCCGAGTCAGCATACGAAGCTCTCGGCCTCTCTCCTGAAACGATCAAAGACCTGATGAATCCCAAGCCTGCGCCCGAACCTACCGAAATCCACGCGCCGAACCTCCTGCAGAGTGACGAAGACAATGCGCGCCCCATGTCGCCCAACGAAACTTCCATAACGCTATACGCCGAACTGCTGCTGCATATACGTACGGTCACGCTTTTTGCATCGCTGCGCACGAATTTCTCTCGGTCGACGGACGCGAAGCTGTCGTCTGATGGGTCTTACATCACTGTCTCTCATGAGGGCCAGTCCGCGTCAATACGTCTTCCTATCAACGTCAAAGGCGGAGGCGACGCTGCGCTTGAACTACCGTCACAGCCTCCAACGAAAGAGTTAACACTCCGTCTTCAGCTGGAAGAAAAGGAAGGAAGCGACCTTCTTGGGACACTGCAACGCGAAGACCGACAGGCCAACATTGTACCGTGGGACGGCGCTTCGCTCAACGATGCGAAGGATTTTGAGATAACCTGCAAAGGCTGCGACGGTATCCTTGTAGCGAAAGGAAAGATTCAACAGTGGAGAGACCTGCCTAATGAGAATTGGGCTGAGATGATGGACTTTTGGCATTGCCATAAGCCGGACGAGCATCACTTGCACGATCACACACACGATGATGTTGTCGGTCAGAAGGGTTATGCAGCTGGTAATCGCCTGCAGGCTACGGGAGGTGTTGGGTTTGTTGATCTGGCCAGCTTTCTACTGGCAGAGTCGGATTGCGAAGGCGCACAGGTAAGCTACAACCTTCTTTCAACCGTGTCGTGCGGTTCCTACATCGTCACTTCATGAGGTTGCAACATGTATGGGCGCAAAGAAGACGAACTCGCCTCATCAGTGGCATTCATCGTCGATACAAGCGCCCTAAATTGATAGGCTCATACACGTACTCTTGGTTCCGGTGTACCCTCTTCCCCAGGTTGATGGGTTGCCGGCGCCGTCGAGTCAGCGGCCTGGCGTTTCACTGTCTCTATACCCTCAGACCCTTGGGATTGGCAGGTTTAGCCAAGGCTACATTCTACACACATCGGTGGCTATCGTTGTTCAGTCTCGTATATGCTGACATGACGCAGATCTCCTCCCATGCCGGCACGGATCCAGGCCTGATTCAATGCAAACATTGCAACCACACAATCGGCGCCCACGAGCCCTCAACCGACGGCTGGCGAATACGAAAATGGGCCATAAGCATACGATCTGCAAAAACCACTCCATCGTCGTCAACTACGCATACAGTCCAGAAATGGATATCAGTCCGCCTCCTCCACCTCATCGAAAACACCGGCCTCCGCAAATTCCACATCCACACCGCCGCACCACCCGCCCAATCCCAAGAAACCCCCATACCCTCCCTCCTCATCTGGGTCTTCACCCCCGATCTCCTCTTCTCCTCTTCCATACCCACGCCCGGCCGTCTCGATCCTACCCGCACAATGAAAGTCTTCTACCAGAAACAGACATGGCAGGCGTTGAAGCCTGGTGAGCCTGAAAGTGCTAGTATAGAGGATGTGGAGTTTCCGGTGGATTTGTATGAGGAGTTGGAGAAGGGGTTGGAAGGGAGTCAGAGGTTGTTGCCGCCGACGGCGAAGAAGTTTCAGGGGTGGGATGTTGGGCTTTTGGAGAGGTTTGAGGTGCTTGAGGCGGGATTGGGTGACGGAAGTGGGGAGGAGGAAGGTGAGGCTGGTGCGAATGGGGGTGCCAATGGGAATGGGTTGGGTGGTGAGATACCGGAGGAGGATGTTGATTGACGTGATCGAACGGTTTAATGAGTATACACACATCTATGCCTTATATTGAAGCTATATTGTAGCAGTCATTCGTGTCCCATCTGCTGTATTATTTTTGTCATTTGTTAAAATGCGTCATACAAGACTGGCGGTCTCTGAGCGGGTGTATGGCATAAAGATTGCTAGCCGGGTGAGAGCAAGCGCCAACCTCACCCGTAGCGCTTTCCCATCCGCTCAATCACCGCTGACCTCGCAAGAATAAAACCGCCTTCCTCTCGCTCGAACTGTGCTCTACCTTTCCTTCTCTCTTCCAGCAACTGGAAAGTCGCATCCACTTCTACCACATCATCCATCAACCAGTATGTCTATAGTCGCCAAGATTGCTGCGATGCAGCGACATCGTGCCGCCGCCGCCGAGACCCCAGATGATCTTCTGGATGTGAGAGTCACTTCCGAATCATCAACTACCCCAAGGATCGGCCAGTCTACCATGGACACTGGACTCCGAGGTCTATGCCAGTCCACGCAGTCTGTGGGTCTAGAAGATCATGTAGCCACCGAGGTCTCAGAAGAAGCCCCCAATATGATGCAACTCAGCACAGACTCAGAGAAGCTCGCCATTGCTGAAGACAATGCTGAAAACTCACCTCTTCTCCGTCTGCCAGCTGAGATCCGCAACACCATCTACGACCTGGTTCTCAGCTCTCACCGCGACTTCCACACCTTCGATGTCGCACGCCAGAAGAGTGTGCGGCAGAATGGTGGAAGCGAAACTACTATACAACAGCTCGCTTTGTTGCAAGTGTGCCGCCAACTCTACACCGAAACCAATCTTATCGCCCTCAACTCCACTCCCTTCGCCTTCGGCTCCGTCACCGACTTTTCCAAATACATCGCGCAGACGCTCCTCCCACCCCAAATTTCTGCCATCAGCGTGCTCAAATGCCCGTTCCGCGAGATCTACTTCCCGGGCTTCGGCGTAAACTCCGCTTTCATCGGTCTCGTTCGTGACAGTTTACGTGGGCTGAAGGTGCTGGTACTGTTTGGAGTGAGGAGTCAGGCCGTCGAGGAGGAGGCGATGCGTGTCATAGAGAGGAAGATCGCGAGGGAGATTAAAGAGGGGTGCGGGGAGCTAGAGGTGAAGGTTGTGTTGACGAGGAATGGTTTGGAGTGGCGCAAGGAGGTCGCATCGGTCTGTGGCCGTGGAGAGCGCAGTTTGGGCGCAGAGTGATGGGTGGCTTCGTCCTTTCATGACACTTTGCTGCGAACAAGTCAAAAGCTGTGTACCATTAGACATGGATTAGTATTGCGTGCATTCAATCACCACTCAACATCCGCAAACACAAGATCTTCCTTTCCACCAGTTTTATTTATCTATCTATCCTACACTATCTGATGATCTCTACCGCAGCCTTAAGACTCCGTAAATGGGCAGTCCGCAAAGAAGGAGAAGGGGGGAGATCAAAATCAGTCGCCAGATAAAAGAAGAAGGGGGGAAATGGAAACCCGCTCAAACAAACAAAGATCCTTTGTTTTTTTGTGGAGTTTCTGTTCTGTTCGAGGCGCTATCCCGCACCCAGTGCGGTAAAAGGGAGAGTGAAGAGCAAGGCCGTAAATGCATGCGTGCCCGATTATATCTTCTCAATTCCTCCTCTTGTCATAACAATCGTGAATCGCTGTTCGAAGAAACACCCAGTGTCCAGACGCCGGCTCAATGGAAAATTACTCCTTCTGTGTAAGTACAGGATGTGAAAGACGGCTATACAAGTGCCCGCTAATCGTATACAATGCAGTGCGGGAATTACTGCTGGTTCCCGAAGCCCATAAAGTTCAAATCATCCAACGTAGTGGTGGGCTCAATGTATTGGGGGTCGAACTGGCCTCCAACCTGGTTGAAATCGGGAAAGAAGTTGGCCGTTTGGTTGAACGTCATCTGGCTGGGTGGCGCAGTGTCGAACAACGTGAAATCCTGGCCGGGGCGACTGAAGCCTTGCATGGTCATGTCCATGTCACCGCCAAAGCCCTCATCCATGTCTGGTGAGTAGAGGGTGATGTCAGGCTGAGCCATGGGTGATAGGTGTGGCAGACCGTTCATGTTGTTATTCGTCGCAAATGGCAGCGGCGCGAAGTCGAACGCTGTGCTCATTGGGGTTGGCTGCTGGTAGCCCGTGTTGAAGTTTGCGTTCAGTGCACAGGCGTTGTAGATGTCGTTGTGGTTGATGTGGGTGTCTTCTGGCGTCACAGCATCGTCGAAGGATGTGGGCTCAACGGGCGAATGTCCTGACGAGTATGTGAAGTGAGAGCCATCGGTGGTGATCGAGTCACGACGGAAGTCATCTTGGTAACCGTGAGCACTCATAGCCGGCGTTCCGAAGCCATAGTAGTCAAAGTTCTCGATCATGGGCACTTGAGGCGAAGCAGCGAATGGTGTGATAGGTGTAGTCATGGTCGCCGACATGGGTGTACCGATAAAGGGAGTGAGAGGGGTAGCGGGGCTGTGCTCGCTGCCAGAAGCGCCCTTCTTGCGACCGTTGCTCTTGGAGCGAACATATTCCCAGCCATGAGCCTTCTCCATGTGCTGCTTGCAGTTGGACTCGCGCTTCGAAGCGTACGTGCATGGGTGGTAGAGACACTTGTACTGAGCAGGGGCAGCAGAGTGCTTGTCGTTCATGTGCCTATCACGCTCCTTCTCAGTCGGCCAGCCGAGTTCGAAGTACTTGCAGTTCTTCTCGTCGCACTTCCATGGGCGAGAGTGAGTCTTCTCGTGCTTGGTCAGGTCGCATGGTCGCTTGAACTCCTTCTTGCAGTCACGGCAAGTGTGCATCACGTCTCCGGGTTTCTCGGACTTCCGTCGTCGCGCCATGGATCGGGTTACTTCGTCCTCGTCCATGCTGTCCTCGTCGGCGTCCGACAGACGACGCTTGATCCTGAATGCGTTTGAAGCATCCACCGACATGGGGATGACGTTACCGTTCTTCTCCCGGACGAGCTCGACAGGACGGCCGTTGTGGCTGATGCCACCGCGGAGGGTGATCTTCTCATCGCTACATAATTTTTGATTAGCGCGGGCGAATAAAAAGTCGGCGGCGCGATCATACCGTGAGTAATCCATCTCGTCCAGATCCTCACCCTTGGTCTCTTTTTCTCTGGTAGCAGCCATGATTGAAGCGTATCGTCTAATCTGTTCCATCAAATCGAGGAAGTAGCCGTCAGTATAAGGGCGGTCGGTTGGTAGTCGCTGGTCTTGTTCGGAGATGTACTGGACGGTCGTAGCCAAAAGTTGGATTGATCGTTGGCAAAAGCGGAGGTACGAGTCCGGGGAAGCCGACAGCTCCTTTAAACCACGAAAAATGCAATAAGCTTCTGCACTTTGAGAAAGACAACGGGTGATTCCACTTACCGGTGCGAGGAAGACGAGGGTCTTCTCGAGGTCACGGAGGTTGCGGATGTTCTTCTCACCTATGCGTCGAGGGACGTCCTTGACGAGGGAGTGGAAGTCCTTGAGAGACTCCTCGGCGAGAATGGGCTTGATGATGTAGTCGTGAATCTGCTTGCACGTGTGCTCGCCGAGCACGTGATCCTCTTCTTGGAAGGTGAGCGATGAGAAGGACCTGGTGACAGCCGAATGCGTCGAGCTGATAGAAGTGCTGATGGAGTCACGGACGCTCGAGCGCTGGGAGCGAATCTCGTCTTTATATATGTTAGTATGTGGGGCGTTCTCATCCAAGACGGGTGGCTGCAGTGACTCCTTACCGTATTTCGATCCACTGATGCTGGAACCCAGACCGCTGTCAGAAGCGTGGTCGTGGGGGCTGCGTGCAACTGCAGTAGGCTTTGGGTCGATGTCCATTGGGGTGTGGTCCAATGGGGCGCTGTCGAGGACAAAGCTCGGGACAGGAAGAACCTCCGGATCGTTGAGAAGGTCGCAGCCGGTAACAGTGCTCTTATGGCCAGCGACCCTCGCTTCGAAGTCTTTGAGCAGGTTGGTGACGCGACGCACGTTAGGGTCCTGGATGGAGTCGTTGACTAGCTCTTCCAGCCGGTCAGTGTTGGTAGGCGAGCGGCGGGGCATGCAGAATCGGTCCACCTCGCAGATGTCGGACGAGATATGGGTTGGCGACGAGAAAGTGCCGCTCTTCCTTAGCTGCATGCCATGGGTGCTCAGAGGGGATGCGGAACCCTTAAGAGGACGGCGGCGGGGATGACGGTTCTGGTCGTGGGGTGCAGACATGTTGAGTATGACTGGTCGTCGTACCGGTTGAAGTGGGAAAGGCGGCCTCAGGTGAGTCACGGACTGCACAGTTTCCCAAGCCCGGCGATCCAAAGAGACCAAGTGTGAGTGGTTATCAGAGCCCAGATCACGTTTTCATTGACCGGGGATAGTGGAACCTTTGCGACCGCGGAAGCTAGCAGCTGATAGGCTAGGGTGATGATGGTGATGCAGCGAGCGAGGAAAGGGCGCTGAGTCCTTTGGTCTGGTGTCGGAGGAGACGTGCAGGTATATAGGAAGGCGCAGCACGTGGAGTGAGACGGGCGGCGAGCGGCAAAAGAGGCACAAGGGCGGCGGGTCTGCGGTGCAAAAAGAGGACGAGGAGGGAGGCCTGAGGGATTAGGATTTGAAGCAAGAAGAGATGTCGAGCAGCGCGGGCTGGGGGGATAGGTGGTTCAAGAGGGAAGGAACGGGTTGTCGTCGCTTCCTCCAGTAAGTGGAGTTCAACTCCAGGCAGCAGTGCACGGACATCTGACGTTCCGCGCAGTCAGCCCCTGCTCGGATCCTGAATACGAGCTGCATACCATTATTCGCCCATTTGCACAATAGCAGCCATCCGTCTTCTGCGTATCTCTGCCGTGTCTGTTGATGCTGGAGGTGATTGCGAGAGTTATATCATCCTTCACCGCAATCCTACTGTGGTAAAAGACACTGAACCACGAGAATTGTGCTCCTTCCAGCGGTGACAAGACCCTGGCCAGAAACCGGTCAACCCAAGAAGCGCAGGAACGGCTGCTAGTGCACGCGTATCATTGGTGAATGGCGTCAGGCGCCCTATGGGTGGAGGCTTTGAAGGGCGGCAGGGCTGTGCATGGATGAAGCGACTTCGCCATCCTCACCACTTCTGGTGGATCAGCTGCTAAACACAACTAACACGTCGCTACTGATAAACCCGCCGTCCCCGCTCCCTGGAATTGCACATTTGCGCACGCCGTCCTACCCGCTTTTTCCGTCGCTGCGCAATTGCACTGTGTCCTGATGTTCTGGATGTCGGCCCATACGTATGCCGCATCCTTCGATTGGGCGAGTCGCGCAGGACGCCTTTTCACCGGAATCGTGGGGGCCAAAAACACGTCGTCAACCTGCATGTGATTTATAGGGCTGCACATGCAGGGCGGAGAGATGTTGATATTGAGGGAGTCACACATATAAGACCCATGGCGGGGTACTCCGGGACTAAGTATAGGCTTGTTGGTTGTCTCACACTCTCTACGCAGGTCGCCACCCCAGACGTTGGATGCACCCTCTCTCTCACGACTCGCTGCGGACAAAAGCCGGATATTTAAGCGCGGACATATCTCTCACCGATTACGTCGTAATGACTAGCATTCAAAATGTCTGTTCCTATCGCAAGCTACTCCGTCCATCTCAGACTTCACTGCACTTCCTTCCTTTTGCAAAAGCATGCACCGATGACTCGTCAGATCGCTCTACACTCATACTCCGATCTCATGGGCCGCCAGTTTCAAGTTTTCAATCTTCTTTCCTCCAAACTACGACACTGTCGCAACTTCACTGCTTCGACAGACATCTCCAGAGTCTCTAACGCGACTCTATACCTAGTACAACACAGTACCAAATATCACGTGTCTTAAAGTGCTGTCACGCTCCTCTAGCTAAATTTATGCAGCATCCTGGTCGCCGGCATCACGTACCAGTAAGAAAAGCTGTTCGCTATCATGATCATTCATGCTGATTCCTCAACCACCTCCAAGGGAAAAATTTGAACACCTGTCTAGCTACAGAGAATGGTAGAAGTGAAGAAGCTAGAACTTGAAATTACGTGAAGATTTTGATATCTTTCGTTTCTATACTAATGTAGACAGCAGGCGGCATCGCATCCACTCAGCTCATTGCATGTATAAGGTGTTCACGACACGTTACTAGTAGGTCGATAGAGTAATCCTGATGCCAACCCCATCGGCGCGCAGAGATTTGCCTAACCAGTATCTCCAAATCTAACAACCTCGTTCTTTCATCCGCAATGTTCCAGCTATGCAAGGTCACGATCCTACAAACTTCCCTCACAACCCAGCCCTTTCCATTCCAATCTTTAAATTCGCCTCGCCGTGCTCTTTCAACCTCTTCAGTACGCGGCTGTGGTATCTTTCGCTTTGTAGTGTATGCATCTTGATAATCCCTCTTATGCATCAGAAAATCGTTTATGTTGAATCCAAACTGCTCCATCGTAAAGTCTGCAATGTATTCCGCTCCGGTTTGGGTTCTGATATTGAAGACGCTGTGGCGAACAAATGGATCTGGCTGTTCCCCTTCCAAATGATAGACAACGTAAGGCTTGACTTGAACGGCGAGCCAAGTTATCGTCGCTCCTATTTCTTTAAACACAGGCTCGAGATAGATGAGAAAGAGTTGAATGCTGAAGTCGCAGTGGTTGTACTTGTTGCGCGCTAGCCGTTCTAGAAGGGATACGTCAGGAGGATGGGCATGAGGACCAATGCCATATATTAACCTTCGATTGCTATCTCGAACTGGGACTTCGGTAATGATGAAAGGTCTGTTCCATCCTGTTGGCACCCAAGGGACGTGGTAAACAGAAGGTCTGCGCTCGTACTCCAGTACTAGATTGAATATATGCCAATATAGCAAGAGTATCGATCGAATGCGACAGTATTCGTCCAGTGATTGGCATGTCCACGGTAGTGTAGTTATGAAGTTCGTTGCCGTTGGAAAGTGTTGTAGAGATGTTGGAGGTGCGTGATGTTCTGCCAACAAGGGGGGCTTTGGGGTCGCTGGAGGTGTGGGAGGTTCTGTTGGCTCTGATGGTATCACGCTGCCCCGACGGCGGCAGGAGAAGGTGGGAGTTGGAGGAGGTGTCGGCTCTGATGATATTACGCTGTCCCGACGACCACGAGGGAAGCTGATAGTTGGAAGAACCTTGCGTGTGGAGTTATCATCCAACATCGGAAGGGGCGAAATGGACATGATGATTCCTCGGGCTGTGATGACTGTGAATCTGCTAATACAAAAGAGGAGACGATCTAACGCAGTTTATATACCGCGTAGGTTTTGCATACCACAGGGCGATATGATGGGCTTCTGTGGATTGTCCTGCGGATTTTCTATGTCGAGCCACGGCACCGGGCAATCGCCCAATACGCTCTTTTCACTGTCAAATCCAACACTGCATCTGAGCACCGGGAAACTCTACCTAGATATAGAGCGAAAAGCCTTTTCGCTGTATTTCTTGGGCACACACCGTCCATCCTGTGGTCCCGCGATCACGCTTCGCAAAGGCGTTACTAACTCAAATAGCTCGCTTATAGGCACTACCAGACATTTGAACTAGACGAATTCGGTATTCTCCATACCGCAGGTCTTTGGCTGGTAGTCGCTCTATACTCCGCCGTGGTAATCATGAGATTGCGAGGAGATTAGATCGCGCCGCAGTACGTTTGGGCCGTGATACGCGGGCCAGAGACAGGCAGAAGATCTTGACACGCATATCGGCCGATGCTTTGCGTTAGTTCTGGTATATGTAGCGTCGCGTGCAATCCATAGATACGCGTACCATGGTAGTGCGATAGATGCTGTTACCTTTCCCCACGATCCTATCGGTGCGCGACAGACCTCCGCCAACGCTGTTGCAACTACATCCTAGCACCATGTTCGGCCAACTACCTAGGTGTCCTCCAAACCAAGCAAAAACTCAATTTCGCGTGTGGTTGACAACATGCAGATAAACCGCGGGACGCGGCTCCTGAAACCTCCATTATGGATTTTGCGCACAACATTGCTTCGGGCAAAGAATCGCGGTCTTCGCCAAAAACCAACGTCGAAGCCATGACCGCGTAAGAGGGGATCTATCACGCTATGTATAGGAACATGCAGGTTTCCCGCGCGCAGTGGATCAGGAGAACCACCATGTGACATCAGCGTGCTCCGCGTTAAGCGACCTGACCCTGAAGGTACTAGCGCCCAAACTCTGGGAACAGCCAACGCCAATGAGACGCCGGGCAGTATAGTTCCGTTTCATGAGCCCCGTCGAGCTCAAACCCCTCGCGATGCCGTTGCCGCCGTCGTCGTTCTGACTGTTCAACCCTCTCTCTTTCCGAGGCGAGTCTTTGTCGCTCTCGTCTTTCTTGTCGCTCTCTCTCGCTGCTTATCCTTAGGTCTCTCGCGGCCGTTACAATCTCTCTATAGGTTCACGCTGGTTCGTGCCTACACGCTCACTCCCCTCGCGGTCACATCGCGTAATCGCGCATTCGAAGCGTTCGCAAACGAGTTTTTCAGGTCGATTATTTGAGTTTTCTTGCAAGATGTTGGGTTTTCACAGAAGAACGAGGTCTTTAATACCGGTTAAGGATTTGGGCAAATATGATAAGGTGGCTATGGTTGAGGAAGAGGAGCAGCGGGATGTAGAAGAAGAGATGGAGAGTCACAACGCGCCAGACGGTGCCGATAAGTCGCGGCGGACGCAATTGATGCTGGTGTACCTCATCTTCCTTGCTGAAGCGTAAGTTCTACTATACATCTCATATGAGATGACCCGTTTCTTCCGGCTTGTGTTGACATTGGCGTAGCATCATGGCATCAAGTCTCCAGCCACAGCTCCAAATGCTCCTCTCGTCCTCCGACTACTGCGGCACCCTCTCCTCGTCATACCTCCGAAGCATACTCGACTGCGCATACGCATTTGGTGGAACAACGGGTCTGTTCTGGGGATACCTCGCCGACCGCATGGGAAGACGGCGCGTTACGCTCATCGGGCTCTGGAGCATGTTTGCATGCTGCCTGAGCATGGGATTTGCGACCAGTCTTGTCAGCTGCACAATCTTCCGCTTCGTCGCTGGCATGGTTAGCTCGGCAATCGTATGCACGACCCTGACCATGATTGGAGACTTGAGCACATCGGCAGAGGAGAGGGCCAAGAACGTCGCCCGGCTACCTACCATTTCTCTGGGTGGCTCCATGGGCCCTATCATGCAACTCATGGTATCGGAGAGCCTGCAAGCATACAACATGGTCTGGCAAGACTACCCAACACTGGGCTCTGAGCTAGCCTGCGGAGCTGTACTGTTTGGCATCGCGCTCACGGCGAGCATCTGCCTCAAGGAAACGCTTCCCCACCACAACGACCGCTCAGCAGACCCCGTTGACATGGACTGCGAAAAGGCCGCTTTCCTCCGCCGCGACTCAGAAGACACCAACGTCACTCTCGTCGACTTTGCTCGCCCAGATCCCATTACCATCTCGCAGTTCCTCCAGGCTCCTTCCCTCATGGTCCTCCTATCCTCTTTCTGCCTCCTCTCGCTCCACGCCTCGACCTTTGACGTCGTCCTCCCCCACCTCGGCCACAGCAGCACAGACCAAGGCGGCATGGGCATCTCCTGCGAATGGCTCAGCATCGTCGTCCTCTGCGTCCGCGGCATGGCCGGCATGGTACTCTTCTACGCCATCCCCTACGCTACGGAAAAGTACGGCCTCGTCAAGCTCTACCGTTCCGTCTCCGCCATGCTCCCCGCAACCTACGTCCTCACACCCATCCTCGCCATCGTAGTCACCTGCTCCGGTCTCGAACCCGTCATCTCCACCTTCTCCATCTTCGCCCAACACCTCCTCACTGGCGGGGCAAACGTCGTCGTCTCTCTCCTCGTCCTCAACACCACACCCGATGCCTTCTCCGCCGGCACCGTCGTCGGCATGATGCAAGTTGCCAGTCTGTTCAAGGCTTTCGCCGTCGCTGTCAGTGGAACAAGCTACTACTTTAGCGACGACCTCAGTGTGCAAACAACAAACTTCGCGCTCTGGACTTGCCTCGCTCTCTTCGGCATCGTCGGCGCGGGTCTCGCGTGGTTCGTCCGCGAGAGACCGAGTGTGGAGAAGGATTTCCCTAGCGAGGTTCTCTGCTGGGAGACTTGCTTTGATGCTGATGCGGAGAAGCAGTTTAGTCTGGAGGATGTCCAGGAGGTTTGATTGATATCACATCATCATCTGTCCGTTGTATGTCTTGATGTACCAATAGCGCGTCGACATTGAGTGTTTTTCCTATTCTTTCGTTTGTTTGTCGTGTGTTATGCTGTTTATCCATCGGTCTCCTTGTGTTTGAGTTCCGAACTCTGCTTCTTGGGTTGTATGAGTATATAAGCAAAACATCGTATTCTGGCTTGTGAGCCAGCCATTTACCTTGATAAAACTTCCATGACTTGCAAATGTGATTTGATCGATTCAGCAGTGACCCTCGGCGCGCCTGTACATGCAGCATAAACAAAAAGTGTGAAAGGGACCGAAAGGGACAGGAACCCTTGGGTTGCTAGGTTGAACTGCTCTGAGGGCACATATTCTCCCGCTCTTAAGTTGGCAATGCTGGAAGCAATGACAAGGTATGACATCTCGCTGTTAAACTTGCTCAATGTCACAATTTGTTAGAAAGGTTGGAGAGCTACATGTCAAGAATGGCATTTCACGACATCAAGCACCAAAATGAAAGAAGTTTTTGAAATGCGATCGTTGTACTATCGACGACTAAGATGCCACGACGGGCCTACATCAAACCGAGTGATTGAGTATCTCTAATCAAACAACTTTTACCCATGAACGCCATACCCGAAGGCCGAAAACCAGATCCGATGATCATATCACATCATATCGTACGGCAGCTCCATTACTTACTCTCCGAGATAATCAAAGCAGATACACGAAAGGATGTGAAAGGCGATGACTCAAACGAGACGCTTAGTCGAAGCTCTTCTTCTGTCCCTGGAAGTCGCCGAAGCCACCACGGTTGAATGAGCCACCGCGGCCGCCACGGTCACCGCCACGGCCACGGCCGCCTCCGCGACCACCACCGAAGCCACGGCCTCCGCCACGACCACCGCGGTCGCCGAAGCCACCACGGCCGCCGCCACGTCCACCGCGACCACCACCACGGCCACCGCCGAAGCCACCGCCGCCACCGTTGTCCTCACGAGGTTGAGCGTAGTCGATGCGGATGGCACGGCCACCGATGTCCTGGCCGTTCAAAGCCTCAAGAGCGGCAGTAGCCTCCTCCTGGGAACCAAAGTCGACGTATCCAAAACCCTTGAGGGAGCCGGTGTCACGGTCAGTGGGAAGAGAGACACGGGTGATGTTACCGTACTCCTGGAAGACCTCCTGGATGCTCTCGTTGGAGCACTCGAATGAGACGTTGCCGAGGAAGAGGGTGCTGCTGGGAGGGCTGCGCTTGTCACCGTACTTGTTGGCACGGGCGCCGTTGGCATCAGGCTTGGCACGGGGAGTGCTGAAGTCGACGTTGAGCTGACGGCCGTCAAGCTCGTACTCGTGCATCTCCTTCTGTGCCTTGGCGGCGTCGGCAGCGTTGGCGAACTCGACGTAACCGAAACCCTTAGCACGGCCAGTCTCGCGGTCGGTGATGACACGGCAGCCAACAATCTCACCGAAGCCCTCGAACTCGCGGCGGAGCCAGTCCTCGTCGATGTTCCAGCTCATGTTGCCAACGAAGAGGTTCTTGATACCCTCCTCAGCGGCGGGCTCCTCAGTCTTGGTCTTCTTGACAGCGGGGGCAGCGGCCTCCTCAGCCTTGCGCTTCTTGGAGGGAGCCTCCTCGCTCTCGGAAGCGGAGGAGTCGTCGGAGTCGGCGTCAGAGGAATCGTCAGAGTCGGAGGTGGAGGTGGCCTGTCAAAGTTAGTCTACGTTGAGTGATGGGAAGATAATGAACTAACCTCAGCCTTAGCGGCGGGCTTCTCATCCTCAGACTCGCTGCTGGAGTCGCTGTCGGAGTCGCTGGACTCAGCCTTGGCTGCGGCCTTCTTTACACCGTTGGCCTTGGCCTTGGGAGCAGGCTTCTCATCCTCGCTGCTGTCGCTGTCGCTGTCTTCCTCGCTGCTGTCGGAAGAGTCAGAATCGGAGTCGGCCTTAGCAGCGGCCTTAGGAGCAGCCTTGGCAGGAGTCTTCTTCTGCTCGACCTCCTCCTCGCTGCTGCTCTCAGAGGATTCTTCGCTCTCGCTCTCGCTCTCAGACGAAGAATCAGACTCAGGCTCTGGGGTGGGAGCCTTCTTCGACTTCTTCTTGTCCTTGACGTTGGAAGCAACTGACTTGGCAATGTCCTTGCTCTTCGACTTGGGAGTAGCAGCGGGCTTGGTGACGCGACCAGCCTTGACGCTCGCGAGCTCAGACTTCTTCTCCTTCTTGGACGACTTGTCCGCGACCTTGGTCTTGCCCATTTTGATGATAGGTAACTAGATCTACAACGTATTAGTATTGTGAAACGTGCGACGAGAGCGCCGATGATGTGCGACAGAAAAAGGAAAGAGAGGAGCCGACGGCATGAAGCCGTCGCTCGGGCGCTGATGCCAAAAGGTCATCGTATGCGCCAGCCTGCTGGTCTGATTGTCTCAAATTGCGAAAAGCCCACTGGTATCTCTCGAGACCGCACGAAGCGGGTATCCCTCAAGCCCACGGAAAGCCCACAAGAGCCCACAGATACCGAGCTTCAAGGCATGTGTTCCCACAAGCGCCGAGAAGACGGAAGATTAACCCTCATAGTAGCAAAAAGCCCTCAGGATGATCTTGCCATGCCCTGACGAGCGGCAGGCGTGCCCTCTGTAATGTGTGTTAAGGAAAAGCCAAACGTTGCCCACTGACTTGTAATTTGATCTGGTACTGGATGTTGCCCTCAGTAGCCCACTTGAGAATCGCGAAAGCCCTCAGTGTAGATTTCGAACGGTGAAAGTTCGAAAGAAGTTGTGAAGAAGGTTGATGGTAGGTAGATGCAAATGGCTGGGAGCGCGCAGTTTATGTAGCGGAAGGATCAGCATCGAACTTTTCAGCGGATCTGAGGCCCGAGCGCGGCGCTAGGAACGCGTTTTCTCGAGGTACGCTAGATTCGCCCCACGCGAACTCCATCCAACGGCGACGGCGGTATTTCCCTCAGAGATCTCAGGGTCTCAATATGACTGGGATTTATTCGAATGGAAAGTAGATGGAATGAATCTTGTGCGGTAATGCTAGGAATCCCGCACACTCAAAGTTTCCTCCGGTCCACACCTAGATATGTCCTACCTACATAGAGGAGTTCAACCATGCACGAAATTTTATCAGAGAACACACATGGTCTGCACAGCAGCAAAAAGGATCAATCTCAGATAGAATGTTTGCCGAGGTTGCCCACTGTGCCCTCATAATGGTGCTCACAGCAGCTTGATTATGCCGCAACCTATATGTGATTTTGAAAGCATCAGTTACCTACAAACGTGCTATATACGTTAAGGCTCCATCACGAACCAAAGCTACAGAGCAGCTAGTCTAGGCAATAGCCTGGACCAAGAGCGCTGACTCTTCTTCGTCCGAAGAGATCTGGGTATCGAACTCTTCAAGGGCTCGAATGCAGGGCACAAGCTAGCGCAGAAGCGGTAAAGCGTAGAATCTCCGCCACGAGTCCTCGATGCCGTCCGGGCCCTCACCAAGCTCACCCGGGCAGCTCCAACATGGCATCTCCAGCAGCCCACAAGCCGCGACGGCGGCGAAATATTGGAGAGGGCTCTCTCGCCCAGGTTGCACACGGTACACTGGATCTCGACCACTCGACCAACGCACGGAAGCCCGCGTTTCCTCTCGTCGCGTTTCTCTGGCCAGCCAAAGGCACCGTCTCGCAATGGGTCACGATACCCCTCATTTTGATGGCAGTTGGCCTGTTCAGATGGACTGTCAGTCTGTGGGGCTATTCTGGATTCCAGTCACCACCAATGCACGGTGACTTTGAGGCTCAGCGGCATTGGATGGAAATCACCAAACACCTGCCCGTGTCGAAATGGTACTTTTATGACTTGCAGTGGTGGGGACTGGACTACCCACCTCTGACTGCTTATCATAGCTGGATACTGGGTGTCATGTATGTTGGAGCATTGGATATCAAATACAAGTACTAATCGTTGCAGTGGTTCTGCTATCAATCCCACATGGTTCGCCCTGGACGAGTCGCGGGCGCTCGATGACCCTTCCCTCAAGATATACATGCGAGCCACCGTCTTCGTATCCGAATACCTCATCTACGTTCCCGCGACGATCATCTTCCTCCGCCGATACTCCCGACTGGAGGGCGTCAATATATGGGAGTCGTCAATTGCGCTGGTTGCTATCCTGATGCAACCGGGGACGATCTTGATTGACCACGGACACTTCCAATACAACACCGTTATGCTTGGTTTTGCAGTCGCAACGCTCTCAAGCGTGATCGCTGGAAGACCGCTGTGGGGATGTGTCTTCTTCGTCGGTGCGCTTGGATTCAAACAGATGGCATTGTTCTATGCGCCTGCAGTATTCGCATACCTGCTGGGCATCTGTCTCTTCCCCAGGATCAACATTGTGCGGTTCTTTGCGATTGCGCTGACTACCGTGGCCGCATTTGCCGTGTTGTTTCTGCCGTTCTTGATGGGCGTCGCATACGACAGATATACCCGATTCAATTACGATCCTTTGGAGATGCCCCCACTGCTGACCTTGAGATGGTTCATGTCGCCGTGGAATATGAATGCCTGGTACTACCCATACGTTCTGGAGATGGGACAGGCGATCCACCGCATCTTTCCCTTCTCTCGTGGGTTGTTCGAGGACAAGGTTGCCAACATCTGGTGCACTATCCATACTTTCCACAAGCTTCATCGCTATCCGATCGAGCTACTTCAGCGTCTCGCGCTGCTCGCTACGACCGCTGCGATTCTGCCGCCATGTCTGATCATCTTTGTTAAACCTAAGAAGCAGCTTCTTCCACTCGCGTTCGCGGCGGTCTCTTGGGGCTTCTTTCTCTGCTCATACCAGGTGCACGAGAAGAATGTCTTGCTTCCGCTGTTGCCAATGACGCTGCTTCTCAGTGGAAAAGATGGTTTGCTGCCCTCCACTCGCGCGTGGGTTGGTCTTGCGAACATGCTTGGCGTTTGGACAATGTTCCCTCTACTCAAGAGAGACGAGCTACGGGTTCCATACTTTGTCATATCCCTCTTGTGGGCCTATCTTCTTGGTCTTCCCCCAGTTTCTTTCTCTGCCTACCATGAAGGCAGCCGAGGTGGACTGAATATCTTCAGCAAGATCCTCCACCTCAACATCTACCTGGCCATGATTGGATGGCACGTTGTGGAGGCCTTTTACCCTCCCCCAGCCGACAAACCGGACCTATGGGTTGTCGCGAATGCGATTGTTGGGACGGGTGGCTTTGGTATTTGCTACCTGTGGTGCTTGTGGCGACTTGTTATCAAGAGTGAGCTGTTTGGCGCAGAAAAGAGCAAGACGCAGTAAAAGATTGGATGTTCGTTGGTGCACTTCAGCACTTCTTCAAGATACCCAGGTAGATCATGGAGGGAAGATTTTGGTTCCTCATGTATAGTATTGTACATCGAATCTAAAAACGCGTATCGTGCGCAACGCCACCCATATGCTCGTGTTGTACATGTCGTATACATTTCCGTCCCTCATTGCGCTATATCTTGAAGCCGTATCCAGCCATGCACTTCTTGTAGTCGTCGACGAGGGTGAAGCACTCTTTCTGGGGGTCGTTCGATGTCGAGAAGAGCATGCATTCGTCGCGTTTAGCCTTTTGGTCTGTGCAGACGCAGCATGCTATTCAGGAGTCAGTACTAGAACAGTAGGTACCAAGAAGTTGGGTAGAAACTCACGCTTAACTTTGGCTGGCGCGGCGGTGTCCTTGAGGTCTGAGCCCATGTTGGCAGCGGTTGGCGGTGCTAGAACGCCATCAATTAGCTACTCTGCGTCGCATACATGCCATCATCAAACCGCAAGCATACCTGAGGACATTGTGAGTGTGGGTGTGTGGTGGAGGTGAATTGAAGATGCTTAGCAATCGCAAAAGTTCCCAGGACATGTCATCGGACTCCCGCGGCGCTCCATACGCCACACGAGGCTTGCACGGTTCGGCTAAAACCAACCCTGCAGGCGACAGGGGGTTCTAGACAATGAATCTCAATCAACCCCACTACGTTTTGCGCCCCACGACTCACACTATAAAGTATAAACAACAAACCCGCCCCCCTGTTGTGCTGCATTCCGCTACTATATCCTCACTGTAACTTGCAACGGGGCGTGCGAAAACATGGCTGGCGCAAAGATCTTTTCTATCGAGGGCAAGGGCCTCAAACTCACCACCGCCGAGGATATTGAGCCGCACATCCAGGATCTCAAGAGCAACGACGATGTAGAGGAGATCAAGTTCTTGGGCAACACTCTGGGTATTGGAGCCAGCGAGGCGCTTGCAAAGGTCTTGGAGAGCAAGAAGAACCTCCAGGTATGTTTACAGCCCCGCTCATCGGCGCTGGGATGCCAAAGGCGGACTGACTGACACAAATTCCAGGTCGCAAACCTCGCCGACATCTTCACCTCGCGTCTCCTGTCTGAGATCCCGCCCGCGCTATCCCACCTCCTCACTTCGCTCCTCACACTACCAAATCTCCACACCGTCGACCTCTCAGACAACGCGTTCGGCCTCAACACGGTTGCCCCGCTCGTAGACTTCCTGTCGCAACACACCCCACTCCGGTACCTATACCTCAACAACAACGGCCTGGGACCCGCCGCCGGTGTCCTCGTCGCAGATGCGCTCACCGCACTCGCCGCCAAAAAGGCCGCTGCGCGCAAAGACGGCAAAGAAGTCCCCGACCTCGAACTCGTAATCTGCGGTCGCAACCGCCTGGAGAACGGCAGCATGGGCGCATGGGCAAAAGCCTACGCGGCCAACACGGGCGTCAAGACCATCAAGATGACGCAGAACGGTATCCGTCAAGAGGGTATCTCGCACCTCATTACCAACGGCCTCGCCCACCTGTCCAAACTAGATACCCTCGACCTCCAGGACAACACCTTCACAGCCATGGGCGCAAAGGCCCTCAGCAGCGCCGTCGGCAACTGGACTGAGCTCCGCGAACTCGGCGTAGGCGACTGTCTGCTCAGCGGCCGGGGCGGCGTCGCTCTCGCTGCTGCACTAGAGAAGGGCAACAACAAGAAGGTTGAGGTCCTGCGCCTCCAGTTCAACGACATCAACGCCAAGGGTCTCGCTGGCCTCGCTTCCGCTTCCCACACCGCACTCCCTGCGCTGCGTCGCGTCGAGATCAACGGCAACAAGTTCGACGAGGAGGATCCCAGTATCGAGAAACTGCGCGACGTGCTCGATGCGCGGAAAGAAGAGAGTGGTGAGAATGCGGACGACGACGAGTACTGGGGTCTCGACGAACTAGACGAGTTGGATGACGACGACGAAGATGAGGAGGAGAGTGATGCCGAGGAGAAGCGTGGGGATGCTGATGATGACGAAGAGGGTGTTGAGGTTGAGGAGAAGGCTGCGAGGCAGGTTGCGGCGGATAATGAAGCTGAGGAGAGTAATGTGGGTCAGGAGAAGGATAAGAAGGTTGATGATTTGGCGGATATGATGGCGAAGACGGAGATCAAGTGAGGGAAGGGATGAAGAGTGCACTGGAGGGGACCTTGTCATGCATTTAGCGGCCTGGGTTGGGTTGGAATGGGGAAGGCTTTTTGAGTAGGCATGTAGGAATTGATACCATAGACCTTACTTCTACCGGGTTCACACGAGGTGGTCAAGTGTTGGGACATGATGTTCGGGGGAGGTGTCCAATTTAGAATGTAGTGCGACGTTGCTCTGTATATTGAGAGGGTAAAGTGTGGCTCATTAGGGTGTCCAGCGGACGGATCATCTATGTATAGGTCTATGACTTTGATGCCATCTGCCCATGTCCGGTTATGGTGAATCTCGAATATCACCTACTCCTCTACCATCTTAGATACATCCCCGACATTCACGGACACTCGCATCATGTCACCCCGATGCCTCACTACCTCATCGGTTGTCCGCGTCATAGCTCGGCTCAGCCAGCAACTTTCCGTTCTCGTCCACTCGAACATGACCGTCCTGCACGAGCCTCTTCACGTGGGTTTCGTGCTCGTTATCCTCAAGCTCCTCATCAACCTTGTTAAGGTCCTTGTCGGGCTGTGACTGCTCTTTGCGGTGCTTAGTCGCGGAGGAGTTGGAAACATCGCTGAGAGACTCTTGCCTACGGGAGACGAAGGACTGCGCAGTGGGGCTGAGTGCGCTCTTCTCGGTGTGGCCGTTGGTCGGCATCTCTTGCGACTGGACTGTTTTGGGATTTGGTTGAGTAGAGAAGCCGTTCTCTCGCTTGGGCGAGACAGCAAAATTACCGTCGTGTAGATCGCCGTGATGTTTGGAGCCAGACAGTGTGTCACGGGAGTAGATACCCTCGCTACTGGCGCGGGGACGCTCATCGCAGGCGCGAGCACTTCCGTTGTTGGCGTGGGACTCACAGAGCCCCAAGCATACATGTTCCTCAGTGCCGCGGTTAGCACGAGCGTCGAGAGACTGTGGATTATTCATCCCCGATGCGGCGGCAGTGTCCGCCTCGATCTTAGGCCCCATAGTCATCTCCGCATTGTGGGAGTCATCTTCCTTCTCTTGACGAGATCGTTGCTGAGGTGAGGTGAAGTTCCTACTGTTGGCACGAGATCTTCCGTTGACAGGACTCAAGATAGATCCAGTGCTGCTGCTCAGTGATAGTTGACGCTCGCGTCTGGCTGCAACAGACTGTGCGACTGCGGCAATGCCACCCTTCTCAGTATGACCATGGGCGCGAGCCTCGAGAGAATGGAGATGATCGGCTTCAGCCTTGGTGACAGTGCCTTGCGCAATCTTGGGTTCGATCTTAGCGATTTCCTCCTGGAGCTCGGCTTCGACTTCAGGGTGAGAGGCATCGGTATGGCCGACGGCCTTTTGCAGTTCTATATATCGTCAGTATTTGTCTCGATGTGGAGCGAAGGATCAAGCGGGATGGCATGTAGGAGTAGGCACGTACTGCTAACGATGCTCTGGGCAACACGAAGGACCTCGGTGGTTGCCTCGTCAGGGCTGCCATCTACAGCGATATGCAGGTCCTTGGCGGCCATCAGCAGGGAACGATGAGAAGCCTGAGCTTGACTGGATCCCTTCTAATCCACACCTTGTTAGCAATAGCTAGGGATTCGACGGCGGAGATAATGCGGACCGCTCTGTCGTCACGTGTAGCGACGTTCTCAGATAGAATACGGGCTTCCTCGGCTGTGATGGTGCTCGGGTCTTTTCGCAGCTTCTTGAGGATGGCTTCCAATTGGTCTTGGAATCGCTGCGAAAGGGTGGTAGCATCGCTGCTCGCGTCAGAGGACACCTTTTCGCTGAGAATGTCGCTCATGGTGACTGATAGAGGTAGGGCTGTAGGTAATGCTTGAGTAGAAGAAGCGGTGGCTTGGAGCTGTGGAGAAGAAGGTGAGGTGGTTGTTTGTGTTTGCGTGCTTTATCTGTGACGATGACGTCGCGGGATCGCGTGTGGAAGGAAAGTGCAGGTACAAACAATGAGATCGGACGACTCTGACAGCGGCTCTTTCCCGATGGGGACGAAGGCATCAATGTGTTCATGATGTGTTGCGGAACAATTCTCCGCGTCGTAACTGCCTCTTTGAAACATGCACTGAATGTGCTGCGACAACGCAGGTAAACTATAACATCACATTAAGTACACAGAGAAAATTTGAGAGGGAAAGGATAAGAACATACATAGACTTTAAGTAATCAAGAGCAGCAATATGTGGCTGAGGATAAGATGTCAAGATCTTGATACATGCAGATAGCTAAGGTTACGCCTTGTGAAAGCACGCGGGCCTCAAGTACACATGAAGACATCAAAAGCATCCAAGTTAATCTCCAGTCCTGCCAGATCCTCCCGTTTCCGGTCAGCTGTTTCCTCGCTGTCGTCCGAGTCGCTTGTTAAAGCCATATCCTCAAATGGCTTCCTTGTCACGCTTTTCCATGTACTCATCAAACTCATCATCTTCCTTCGAACTTCAATAATCATTCGCCAACTCATCATATTCCTCGTCAAGGCCGGGTGGCATCGCCAACCCGCCTTGGTCGGGATCGCGTTCAAGACCGTAACCGTAGGGTTCGCCATCGCCGTCTTCTTCGGAATCGTAGTCCTCATCGCTACCGTCCGGCGAAACTGATTTCTCGATTTCGCTCTCGTCGTCCTCGCCCTCGTCCTCGTTATCGTCTTCTGCTTTGGTGGGTTCGGGCACTGGAGCGATTGTCTTGGGTTGCTGCACTTCGGTGCCGCTCTTGTCATTGAGGTCTTTGGATGTCGCATCTTTCTGCTGCAATGCAACATCGTCATTTGGTTCATCGCGAGCTGGGGCTGCTTCCGTAGCTCCAATACTCTCTAGCTCCGCTGTCGATGTTGTTGGGTCCGTAGTGCCTACTTTCTTGGCTTTCTTCACGCCATTAGATGGCTCGCTCGATACGTCGGGCTCTTCGGAAGCTGCGCGCTTCAAGGCTGATGTTTCAGTCATGCTGATTAACTAATTCGTGAGAGATGAATGTGATGGGAGTCCAAAGTTCGAAGGGTCGACGTTGGAAGTTAATAGGGGCTGGGATCAACATGATGACGGAAGAGGCCCTTCGCAGCCCTCCATGGATCGGAAGTGATATCCCAGCTGTTGCGCAGATGAGCTAACCTACCTGGTTGACACGACTTATCGATTTGTCGAGTTAGGAGTTGGTACCGTAAATCGAGCTTGGGAATAAGGAAATTGAGTTGAGAGTCCTAGAGGTCAGACAAGATCTCTCGACGTATTCGAAGCTGTGTTCATGTCTTTAGTCGATACAAATCAGTGCCCGCCATGCTGTGGAGCAATACGAGGGATTGTAAATAACCCATGCTTCACTCAACCGGGCGTGTCGCGCGAGAGCGTTGAAGTCACGGGAAACTTGTTACGACGTGGTGACAATGAAATGCCCGCAGATGACGGCAAGCGATACTTTCAGTTGCTATAGCCGTTGGTAAAAGATGGTGGTTTCCTTACCTCGCAATGCGCGATGACGCGGCCACTGCCGAAAAGCCGAACAGCAGGGATGTCTCCTCACTAGCCCCACCGAAATCCAGCTGTCAAGCCTCACCTACCCACCACCCTCTGCCTGATTCAATGTCCTGCGCCACATATATGTCTACGGAGCCAGAATGGTCAGCGCCCAAGATGTTGCGGCTCGCCAGTCGCACATGGGGACAAACGATCAAGAGCAAGCGCAAGCCGCGCAGATGATCCAGCGCAACTATCGCGGCTACCGGGAGCGCAGGCAGCTCCAAGGCATGGGCCTGGATGCTAGCGCACGTTGGGCAGAGGTGGGAGACGTTCGCACTATATAGAGAGGTGTGGCTAATGGTACCAGGCGATACGCGACGGTTAGCAGTCCACCACAATCTCTACTGCGCCTAAGCTAAACCTCTCAAGCGAAATGGCGCAATGCGACGAAGCCCAAGCCGCGCTCGGAAGACGCGGCTCTGCGCGACAACCTCACTACTCCCGAAGCACGTGAACGAGCGAACTCCATAGCAGCGCGCGAGAAGTGGAAGCGAGTCGGCGAGATTGCGCGACGAGCGGGCGCCGACGACCCCCACGATGCTTCAGAGACGGACGACGAGGATGCGCCCGAGAACCACACGGAACAGCGGCGGAAGCAGAACGAGTCCAAGGCGGAGCGCGAGAAGACTGCCAAGATGATGGACCTCCAGTACTTCCTGGAGATGGTGGACCAGAAGCATCGATACGGCAGTAACCTGAGAGCCTATCACGAGCAGTGGAAGAAGGCAGACACTCACGAGAACTTCTTCTACTGGCTCGACCATGGCGAGGGTAGGCACTTTGAGCATCCGACCGTCTCTAGAGAGAGGCTCGACACAGAGAGGGTGCGCTACCTGTCGCGGGAGGAGCGTCAGAACTACCTAGTCACCATCGACGACGAAGGTCGTCTATGCTGGGCAAAGAACGGAGAGCGCCTAAACACGACCACGGATTACAAAGATAGTGTCAACGGTATTGTACCGGTCGACGATGACACTCCAGCCTACGGTCCCAAAGCAAAGCTGCACTCTGGACAAAGCAAGACCCTGCGGCGAACTTCAATGATCTCGGTGAGCTCAAGCTCGTCTATATCTGAGAGCGATGCGGAGGCAGAGGAGGCAGAACACTACGTCAATGAGGACCTCGACAAAGCTAAGGGCGTTTCGAAACTCAAACATGTGTCAGCCGCGACTATTCTGAACCACCTTCTCCGTAGTTCAGTGAAGCCGAACTCATGGATATTCGTAAGTTGTGCACTCTCCTCCGTCGGCCAGATGTACTAAGCAAGCACAGGTAGCCGACACATCCTTCCGCCTGTACGTCGGGATCAAGCAATCGGGTGCTTTTCAGCACAGCTCGTTCCTCCACGGTGCGCGCATATCTGCCGCAGGTCTGATCAGAGTCAAGGATGGTCAGCTTCGGCGCCTCTCACCCCTGTCCGGCCACTACCGCCCGCCGACGAAGAACTTCCGTGCGTTCGTACATTCCATGAAGGAGAATGGAGTGGACATGTCGCGTGTCTCCATCTCCCGGTCATATGCTGTCCTCGTCGGCCTTGAAGCTTACGTTAAGACACGCAAGAAGTTCAAGCATGGAGTTGAGCACGTCAAGGAGGCAGAGACAAAGGTCGTGCACCCGGAAGAATACGAACGGAAGGTGGAAGAGCAAAAGGATAAAAGCGAAAGCGCGCAACGAGAGCGGCAGTTACTTGCGCAGGAAGCAGAGCGGAAAGAGGCAGAGAAGAAACAGACTAGTCTTGGACGGCGAATATGGAAGAGGCTCAGTCGAGACCGCGGTGAGAACGGCGACCTGACACCCAAAGAACGGGAGGCCGCTAAGCAGAAGAGGAAGAAGTGGTTGAGCAAGTCGGGGGAAGATGTCGAAGATGGGATTGCGCCTGACGGGCGTCGGGAGCCTGCCCCCGCGGTGTGAGCGGCTGGTTGCGATGCGAGCTACGAAGCGGGCTGCTGCTGTTCCTGCATGACCCCAACAGACACCTGGTGCCTTCTACCTGTGGCTTGATTTCGCGTGGTCATGATATCCTCTCTTGTCGATTTGCCTAGAACCATCGGTAGACCTGAAGTCGTAGAACGAATAGCATTCCTAAAGATAGCATGCATGTGGCATTATTCGCGCGTGTCATTGCACGATCATCGCGCGATCAACGTCCGTCTATCGAAAACGCAGAATCCAGGAACCAGAAAGCAGGTAATGGCTTGACTCGGTGGCGGACAATAATTTTCCAAGCGTGCGGACCCCGTTCCGTGCCGCCATCATTCTTACGAACGGCGGCGACTGACATCATACGCGTCGTCACGGACCCAGATTTCCATCTTTGTTTTGGAGGTTGGGAAATGTGTCTTTGTTTGACAACCTGTTATTTGGGCATGACTCGGCAGCGGGCAGGATAGGGGTACCTGAGATGAAGTGATCGATCGTGCGTCTGCGCAGAATTGCTTGTGCAGTTGTGGCGCGAGGATAATTATGGGTACGACGGACATGTCTCGATCGAGACGGCTTGTCGTGATCGAAACCACGTTGTGCATACTCCGGACTACAGTAGACAGCTGCAAGTCAGGGTCAATGAATTGCCCGGAGGTTAGGTACCACGGGAATAGAACGATTGGGTTTGCTGCAGCCTCTTAGCGGTGCGTGGTGTCACTCGCAGTTGGGATGCGGCCAACGTCCCGACCGTTGCGCTGGAGCCCCGCCGTTCATCGCGGCACAGTCCAACTTCACCATGACCACAGCGCAGGCCTCTTCGGACATGAAGTTATTCGGCATCACTCTTCCGAGTTCCGTCTTTCCTGATCTCCGCCCGCCGCAGGGTCCCTCATCTCCCATGCCGTCTTGCATGTCGCGGTGATGGCTGGTGGTGCTCACGATGGTGGTACCGAAGACTGGTAGCATGCAGCGATCGGCCGCCAAAAGGAAGCTACGACCCCGCTAAGCGACGTTTGAGCAGGGGAGCTCCCGACACCATGACGTCAGGCGCCCGACAACATCATACGCGTCGCTGCAACCTGCTTGCACACACGGCACGACTTGCTCTTCCATCCTGCTGCATGCGCCCTAATGATAGGAGGGAAACACTGCCGCCAGGGATTCCGTACCCGATGCTCGACAAGGCCAGCCACAGTGCCGTCGATCGGGCCTGGGCTCTGTGTGCTTTTGCTCCACCAGCTCGTTTCGCACTGCACTCATGCCTGCGAAGGCGTATCGACAGCCCGGTATTGGCTTGCCTGAGATGACACATGTCTCCCCAACCTCACTTCCTGCATGCCATTGGTATCCTTCCTGC